TGCCTCAGATAGCATTGCAACTTCAATCCCTATCCCTGCACGTTACAAGAGCATTGGATATTCTCAGGTTCCTTTTGTACAGTTATGCAAACAGTGTTCTGCCTGTTACTTATGCCAACTGGAAAGCTGCCTCGCAACTCGCTTGTCCCAACTTGCATGATCTGCACTATGTCACCATGCTGATTGACGCGTTGCATGCACTTGTTGGGCTTGGACAACCCTTTCGCCAATTCGAAGAAGGATCTATACATTAGACACGGACAACTGAATGCGAGAACCTCCACCTATCCGAAACTGGCAAGTGCCTTCCTAAGTCGTTCAGCGGATTAAGGCAAGAGCCCCCTTCAATCCAATCACCATGCCGATCCTCGGCAAGTGCTCGAGCACTGAATGCTGTGGAGATGAAGGCTTCGGAGGGGAGGACAATTGCAGCATAGCAAAGGTCTGCATAACAACACCTGGTAGTGCATACCCCAGTAGGAACAGGCGATTGCTTTGGGATCCGAAACCTCGTAAAAGCAGGGAGACTGAGGATGAACTTGATGTGACCAGTGCAATTCCTCGTGAACTTGCTGCTTCGAAACAGATGAGAACCCAAAAACAATTCGATGCGAAAGGCGAATCCAGGTACCTTTCAACAAATCAAGAATCGTGGAAAATAGAGTAGTGGAAGCTAGAAGATGCTAGAAGGGCCTACCCTTCTAGGATACCTGGTGAGCTGTGTGGACCTCGCATAGTCACATCATCGTTTCAGTGGGGCACCTGATCCCAAAGCTCCGCCCTCTCTCAAACTTCTTGGGGGTCGGAAAAAAGAAAAGAACACTGAGAACACCTGCAAATGCAGCTGAGTTAATGGAATTCTTCACCTTCTGTAACCCGCCCTCCAGTACCATCGCCAAGGGTCTTGGAGCGTGGAATCTCCACGTAGTGGGAGCTGAGGTGTTTTGACCTCGGCCGCACATAGACATAGATCAAACATCGGGACCCAAAAGTTCATATGTGATCAGTGTAATCACTGGATGGCACCTGAGGTGTTCCTGTCAGTCTGAAGATATCAAGCTCGGCACTTGGTTTGATCAATCAGCTCCAAGATCAGCTCTTTAGCCTTCGGGAAAAGACAAAAACCATAAACCATCAGGTTTCTCAAGACATGTGTGCCCCATACTCTAAGTTCTTCACAGTGTGAAAGATGTGCACCAGGGGACCGCAAGACTGAGAGTACATATCTACGGCAAAAGCGAGAATCAAGGCACAAAAGAAGGATCAGGCAGCTCAGGAAGCGCTCAAGGAGGACAGCGTTCAGGGCGACAAAGGACGACGAGAACAGGGCAGAAACCAAACCACCGCAACCAAAACAACGACCGCAACACCTTGGAAGCAACCAATGCTTTTAGAAAAGGACTGACTCCTGAATTAATTCATTGATCTGGTCAAAAAATGAATAGGGGAAGTGAAGTGCCCAACTCCACCTTCTTGACAGCCTCTGCTGTGCCGGCCACTTTCACCTCAAGGATCGCAAGAATGTAAACAGTGATGCAAGAAGGGCATGGATTCCTGCCAGGATCTTAGCTCTTGCCTTGCAAAAGGATGAACCAATGTCAACAAGTTGGGAGCTGTCCGATCGTCCACGGCCTTCAGTGTTCATTTTGACCCACGCTCGAGTCTTTCAAACGGGGTACTTTGGGAATGCAGATGTTCTGTCCTGCAAAAACGAAAAAAAATTAGCCCAGCTGGAGACCCCAATAGCAAGATACAAACCGGGACAAAAAGAAAAATCTGGAAACAGCTGCTGTTTTCAACACATCGACCATCTCTTCCTTGGACACCATCATCACATAACCAGGACACCATCACAAAATGACCAGGGCACCATCAAAACATGACCGAGACACCGTCACAACATGCTTGGGACACCATCACAACATAACCGGGACACCATCACAAGGTGACCGGGACACCAGCATGACATGACGGGGACACCATCACAACATGACCGGGACACTATCACAACATGACCAGGGCACCATCAAAACATGACCGAGACACCGTCACAACATGATTGGGACACCATCACAACATAACCAGGACACCATCACAAGGTGACCGGGACACCAGCATGACATGACGGGGACACCATCACAACATGACCGGGACACTATCACAACATGACCGGGACACCGTCACATGACCTGGACACCATCAAAACATAACCGGCACACCGCCAAAACATGACCAGGACACCATCACAACATGACCCGGACACCATCAAAACATGACCGGGACACCGTCACAACATGAGCGAGACACCATCACAACATGACTGGGACACCGTCACAACATGACTGGGACACAATCACAACATGACCGGGACACCATCACAAGGTGACCGGGACACCAACATGACATGACGGGAAAACCATCACAAGATGACCAGGACACCATCACAACATGACCGGGACAACGTCACATGACCCGGACACCATCAAAACATGGCCGGCACACCGCCAAAACATGACCAGGACACCATCACAACAGGACCGAGACACCATCAAAACATGACCGGGACACCGTCACAACACGACCGGGACACCATCAAAACATGACCGGGACACCATCGCAACATGACCGGGACACCTTCAAAACATGACCGGGACACCGTCACAACAGGACCGGGACACCATCACAACATGACTGCATGAGACACAATCAAAACATGATCGGGACACCATCACAACATGACCGCGCCACACTCACATGATCGGGACACCATCAAAACATGACCGGGACACCGTCACAACATGACTGGGACACAATCACAACATAACCGGGACACCATCACAAGGTGACCGGGACACCAACATGACATGACGGGAAAACCATCACAAGATGACCAGGAAGGACACCATCACAACATGACCGGGACACCGTCACATGACCCGGACACCATCAAAACAAAACCGGCACACCGCCAAAACATGACCAAGACACCATCACAACAGGACCGGGATACCATCAAAACATGACCGGGACACCGTCACAACACGACCGGGACACCATCAAAACATGACCGGGACACCATCACAACATGACCGGGACACCATCAAAACATGACCGGGACACCATCAAAACATGACCGGGACACCATCACAACATGACTGGGACACAAACAAAACATGATCGGGACACCATCACAACATGACCGCGCCACCATCACATGATCGGGACACCATCAAAACATGACCGGGACACCGTCACAACATGACGGGGACACAATCACAACATGACCGGGACACCATCACAAGGTGACCGGGACACCAACATGACATGACGGGAAAACCATCACAAGATGACCAGGACACCATCACAACATGACCGGGACACCGTCACATGACCCGGACACCATCAAAACATAACCGGCACACCGCCAAAACATGACCAGGACACCATCACAACAGGACCGGGACACCATCAAAACATGACCGGGACACCGTCACAACACGACCGGGACACCATCAAAACATAACCGGGACACCATCGCAACATGACCGGGACGCCAGCATGACATGACGGGGACACCATCACAACATGACCGGGACACTATCACAACATGACCGGGACACCGTCACATGACCTGGACACCATCAAAACATAACCGGCACACCGCCAAAACATGACCAGGACACCATCACAACATGACCCGGACACCATCAAAACATGACCGGGACACCGTCACAACATGACCGCGCCACCATCACATGATCGGGACACCATCAAAACATGACCGGGACACCATCACAAGGTGACCGGGACACCAACATAACATGATCGGGACACCATCAAAACAGGACAGGGACACCATCACAACATGACTGGGTCACAATCAAAACATGATCGGGACACCATCAAAACATGACCGGGACACCAGCATCACATGACCCGGACGCCAGCATCACATGACCCGGACGCCATCAAAATATGACCGGGACACCATCCGCCCACCAGCTCTGACGGTGACCCGACGGCGCCCGTCCGCCTATTAGTTTTGCAAGACCCCATAGCATGGCTATTGGGGAAATATATCTGGGAACACAAGGGGACGAGGAGAAAAAAACGAAGAACTTCGAGGGACTCTCAGAGGGCTGAGGTTCTCGTCTTGTCGGGTCTTCCGGCGATAGTCCTCGGTTCACGGCCCCCCACCATGCAAGGATCCGCGGTCTGATCTCTTGCATCTACCTTGAAAGCACCGCTCCTCAGCAAGTCACCACATGAGTGCTTTGCGTCACAACTCAGGGTCTTGAGTGAATTGAATTCGAGAACCGAGAATTAATAAACATATGTAAAAATCTATGATTGCTAATGATGTTGTGAGACCGGGCATTGTCCAATGTGTTTGTAGCGACTCTGGTCTTCATCTAACTCCCCCCAAACCAGTTGAGAAATGCCAGCACTCTGTCAGCTTCAATGGGTCTCACAGATTTTTGTGGCTTCGGTCGAAAAATGTCGAAAGCGACTTTGGGGCCATGCTTTTCACGGATCTCAATGATGGTGGCTGCTTGCTTGCCGATGACCTGCCAGAGCCCGAGCCACTGACGCGAAACATCTCACCGCGTAAGAATGCTCCCCAGTAGCGATGCCAGGAGCCCCTAGTAGCGTCCTCGCTCCTAGTAGTACGGCCAGGAGCCCCTAGTAGCTTCTTGTTACTAGTGCTTACTTATATGTGCTTATGAAGCAGTTTCTTGCACCTCCCTTACCAAACAAAGTCTTCTGACTTAGCCCTTTTTCAATGGAGCAGCCATTGCAAAGCCGCGAGGCTGCGGGTTTGATGATTCCTGGCGTATGCCAGTGCCAAGATTCTTTGAACATGCTCTGGGAAAGCGCCCGAGAGCCATGAGAAGAGGGGTGATCAGCATGAACCGGTGGCCTACCGGCCCATGATCAACACAGTCCCATGCGCTCCCAGATCAGGTGAGGTGAGTTCTCAACCCATCACATTCAAACAAGAGACTACAGTTGTCATTTGACCACCCCTCTTTTGCTTTGACAGCAAGAATATCATTAACCCCAATGGAACAAGACTTTCCGGCACCAATCATGCTGGAAAGATGTGGCTCCCACATTCCCAAGCTCTGTTGAGAATGCACTGCTAAAGAAGAGAATATCCGGTGCTACCATGTCAGATCCTGGCAAAAACTACTGCTATATGCAGAATCTCAATGATCATCTTCTGGGAGACTCAAAGCCTTGTGGAGCCAGCTGGGCAAGGTCTGCTTTGGAGCTGCTTGAATGGTCGACTGGCGAGTCGACTGGTTGAAACAAGCTCGACGCCGTTGAAATTCGGCCAAAAAGGCTGCGCTCTCGTCCTTGCACTTGCCGCGCTCCGTTGATTTGGTTCTGAGCAGGGTAGGCCTCGTAGGCCCAGACTCAGCTGTTGCTGAGAAGAGCCAGCTTGTGGTGCTGGTGAACCAACTCGTGGTGCTGATGCTGTCACTTTGGTAATCCAGCTCATCACCAGGCTCTGCATCAAATGAGGGCTCTGGCTCAGGATCCAGCAAGTCAATTTCGGGCTTGCAAGAGGTTCTCACACAGCTTAGGCACGTTGTCACGGAGCTGCCCGAGATGCATGGATGCTTGCTCACAAGTCTCCCAAGCAGCGGATCTTCTGGCTTGCGTGAAGAGCGTGGGGCATCAAATGAAAACACCATTGCCAGACCGCATGCACTTGGAACGAGCAAACTTCAGAACTGAAAACAAAACTGCGGCCAGACCCTGCAATTCTGAGGGCGAAGACACTCAAAGGCCCTTGTCAAGCAAATCATTGATCAACCATTGATGGCAACATGGTCTCGGACCAACTCTGTGACATTGATCTTTAGAATTTGACACTGCAAAATGCCTGAGAACTTCTCAAAACAAAGAAAATCACATCCCCGGCCTTTCCAAGCAAAGCCTTCGGCACTGGGACTTCATCCTGTTCGATCCAGGTCCCAAGAGGTGATCCCAACCGAGCATCGAACTCACAGAGTCTTCCGTGTGTTTCTGATCTCACCGTGCTTTGGGTGTTGGAAAAAGAACGCCGAATGAATTGACTCCTCTTGGTCCAATCATGTCCAATCTCCAAAGCGGCTCCTCTACGGAGGGTTCCAAGAAGATTGGCACGTCCTGGAGGTCAGGAAGGACTGACTACTGTTTCGAGTGGAAGGAGTGGAAGGCTCTAAGCACACGGAGTCTGTGTGTCGGCCACGAAAAAGGAAGGCTCCATCGCAGTCTACAAATGCACAAAAAGAAAAACTCTCTTTCAAGACGAACGGCTCCCATGGATTTGGGGTGAAAGGACGGAAAGTTTTCTGCCAGCATCGAAATGTCGAATATCTTTCCCCTGGACTCCTCCGGTGGCTTATCATCCTGAGGAGCTGGTGTACCGAGAGCGGCTATGCTACAAGACTTTTGAAGAACCCTGATGCATCAAGACAGAAATGCCGCGGTTTCAGTATCACTTTGGCTAGCAAGAACTTTACCAGGGAGGTGGGTGGGAATGAGGTCTCACTGCCACAAGAAGCATCTAAATCTGCAACAAACCAAAACCTTCAGGTGCTTCTCGGGTGCTGTTTCTAAGTTGTGGGCATCGTCCCTTTCTGCCACGGCCCAGCCTGGCTGATGGTATACACTAGGAGCAAGCATGCCACATATCCAAGAAAGCGCCTTCCACGAAACCAGGGCCTCCATACATCTTGAGGACACACCTACGGGCTTCTGCCCACCTGGCAATTCCACCCCTTCAGGTGCCTGTGCCACCATCATACGAGCCCATGCTACCTGACAGCTGGTGGAATAGAAATAGGCCAGATCCACCAACTGAAGATTGTAGAAGTGTTTGCACCACCACGAACAACAAGCAACTCGATCAACGATCACCAACCCATTCCTTCATCAATGTTGCTCTGATCAACGAGTCGACGTTCGACGTTGATAACATGCAAATCTCAAAGAACTAGGTTGTAAGTTGTAATGCACAATCGACCTGAACAACTTGACATCCACCTCGAAATGAAGACCGCAACTTGATGTCTGGTTTTTCTAGTTTTGCCTCACAGGAAAAGCACGTGCCTCCTGGCCGGTCTTCATGAGCACCTCGGCTGTCAGACACATTGGCCATATGTGGCAGTCGAGTCAAATCATGGCGGATGTAAATGCCACGCCAAATCATCCTGTTCCTTGTGAGATACACAAGGGGTAGTAAGATTTGACTTTGCGATACAAACGCACAAATCAACAGGAAACCGAAGAGTTCCACCCCGTCAGTCTTGAGCCACCGGGCCTGGCCAGCCAGATGGTACTCCCGGTGCACCCCATTGACCCCAGCCCATGTGTCCTGACTGTGGGGCTGTCACTAGATGCGTTCATTTTCGAAGATCCTCTGGCAGTTGGCAGGTTCGCCTTTTGAAGACTTCAGGGGAAGTCTGACCTCAACTGGATCCAATCCGAACCATCGCGTCCGAAAGTCTCCCGCCACACATGTCGCAGGCAGCAGTCCTTTCTTTCGAACTGCTGCATAAAAACATATAACACCATCATCCTGTCCTGCTGCTGGCCAAGTGGGCATCCCCATGCTACCTTCCGTGCGCAGACTTGGCAACCCAGGCCCGAACAACATCCACGCAACGCTGGTTCGATCGTGAAGAGAAGGAATCCAAGGTCACTCACAAAATGCTTCAGCGATCGTGCCTGAAGGTGCTTGGGCACCTGTGGACTGCCAAGAGCGCCACATTTCTGCCCATTGTGTGGCAGCCTTGGCGCTTGAAAGGAACTCCTTTTGCTCCAGTGCTACGAGCTGTGAGTGTCCAGGGAGAAGTTGTCTTCAGTGCAGGTCCAGCTGGGCCATTCTGTCTCTTGTGAACGCCAGACACGACTTTAAGAGATGTAAATGACAGTGATATGAACTGGCAAATCTGAAAAATGGCAACAATTCACTGAGGAGACACCTGGAACCTTGAACCATTTCCGCGTCAATGACTCTCCGTAGCTCATGTAAACCTCCGGAGCTCATGCATTTTTGGCTCCTTTGCTCATAGCACCGCGGAACCCCGTGAGTAACCGGCATCTCCGGACTCTGAGGAGGACCTCAGCCAAAGTGACACCTTCATGATCCTGTTAGATAAAATATATTAGAAAAAATGTGACTGGTCCAGGGTTTTTTCTCTCGGACTCAATCCCCAAACATGTTCAAACAGAATTGGGCCAACTAATGCTGAGGTGGTCAGCAACTTAATGCTCCACAAGCTGACCCCACTCACCCATGACATTTGACCTCCGGTGTTGAAGAACAGAAAGCGACGCTAAGCAACGCTACGCACGGTTGGTGCGGCTCCTCAGGCTGCCGCGACGAAGAAGAACTTTGTCCGCCTGAATGAACTGAGATGGCGTGAAAGCACACCGGCAAGACAATCCAGAGAGCTAGGACAGTGGAAAAGGATATGAAGCACCGAAAGCAACTTTGGCAGCAACTCCAGGATTGTATTGTTCACACAACCACACACAACCGCGATTCCATGCACTGTCTCAGCTTGGCCCCTGACGCTTCTTCTTCTTCTTTTTCTTTTTCTTGTCCTCCTGGTGAAGATGCACAGAATCATACTGTATCTGCGAGGCTCAAGTACTACAAAAACCACTACAAGCATCTACAAGCAACACACTAATGAAAATACAGTAGTTGTCATCAGCTATCTCCAGTGTCTGCACAGGTGTTTGTTGCAACCTCAATCAACTTCGAAATGGAACTGGTAACCTTCCAACTCAAGCGGCCTTTTAAAACGGCATCTTCCATCGGCAGCTTTGGCCGAGAAGCATCCATGCAAATGTTGCACTGGGCAAAAGCCATGCTGCCTATGCCAGAAAGAGAAGTATTGGTGGACTGTCTAAGCTGGTGGCTAGTGCCAGTACACAAACTGTTCATGGTCATGTTGTTCCAGGAAATTGAAGACGAGCGGGGAGCCATCGGCCAATCTGCAAACCTTCTCACCCCAAACCACGCTGGCGTGAGTAGAGCTGCTTCTGCATGCCCTGCCAATATTGCCGCTCCAGCTCCTGCCATGGATATCGAGATCCTTGTTGGTGTCAGTATGCCAAAGTTCAGCCTACTTGTTGTCGAATGGAAATACAGAATTGGTTGTTCAGCCTATCTTAGCCATGATTTGCTATTGGCTTCACGCGTGCCATGTCTTGGCCCACAGCTTTCAAGCCGAGACCATCCTGGGAGGAAGGGCCCAGTGCAGATGGCGTTCTGTTGGACGTTGGCTCGGAGCTCTTCTCCTCGAGAGCATCAAAGAATCGCGTTGAAATGAAAGGGCGGAAAGGGGTCGGAACCAAGTTTCTCTCCCAGGTTTCTTTAAAGCCCTGTGACTCAGCCATCTATAAGTGAGACAAGCTCATACAACGGAAAAGATGTTGCAGTCGAAATCAGATTAGAATACATTAGAACCATGGATGTGCACTCTCCTGGACTCCTAGATCGGATGTATGATGTATGGCCTGTATGGCACGTGTAAAGAATGCACCAAAATTGGTGTCTGCGCCTTGGCTCCCCCCATGAGTCTCAGGAACTTCGCTTTCTCAGACGAGCTCTCGAAAGAGCTTTCTTCCCAGGCAGCCCTCGGTGAAGAAAAGATGACCCCCATGGGTGTATGGTCCCATGGCGTAGCGTCCTTGTTCCACCATGCTTGTCAGTCAATGAGACGACAGCGCCACCGACTCTCTGGACGGGGCGAGGCCAGGAGCCCCAAGTAGCTTCTTGTTCCTAGTAGCGATGGCCTCCACCTAGTAGCGTCCATGGCATTTCGGTGATGAAGCCTCGGGTCTGGGGCACTCTGGGGCCCGGGCTTTTCCCACGCTTTCTCTGGGCGCTCCGAGACCATCGGCTCGGTCGGCTCATCATCCGACTGGAAGGAACGAGCGTGAGGGTCGGCTCGACAGCAAGGAGGATCTTCAAACCAGTTGCTATTGTGGCATCAGAAAGGGTGATAACACTGTTTCAAGCTTTCACGGTGGGGGACAGGCATAAATGAGCTTAGAGCGTTTTCCTCAATCGGATCTACTTCTGAACTCCAGCTCAGACACTAATAGATTCAATAGTCTCTGCGATTGAGACTGCAAAGAATGCGACAGTCCGTTCTATTGCAAATCACAAGAACATATTACTTCTGCCTCCTCCACCGGTGCTGTCTTGGATTCAATCACGGGAGCTGCGAAAAGCGCCTAAGCAGAAGTGCTGAGGTTTCCTCTGCTATCTGCGTCACATTCAGAAACTAAAAGAATGAAAAGAAACTTGCTGGTTGGTCTTAGTTGTTTTCCCAAAGCACCGTTGGCACTTGGTCCCTGCCTTTCGCTTCTCCCGCTGCTGTCTGCGCTTCTCTTCCCCGGCTTCCTTGTTGGGGGTCCTCGATGAGAAAAGAATCACAGTCCAGGCAAAAATGCACGCAACTCGCAACAAAGGACAAAAAGCAAGCATTCAGCAGTGCACATGCAACCTCCGCGTCCACATGCGCCAACTGAAAAATCTTCAAAACCAAAAGCGTCTCCCAAAGTGTCAAAGCCAAACCTTTCCTAGATCGCCGGCGTCGACTGCGCTTGTCTGCATCGTAGTTGAAAGCAATGGTGGTGCCCTTTTGCCTAGACTTGCAGATGAACAAATGAAGCGGAGCTTCACTGCTGGACTCATGAGGTGACACTCAAACATCGGGCTCCGCTTGTTTTTCCACTGCAGATCATGCGTATCACGCAGCAGAAGAGCACTGCTTTTCTCAAACATTAACTAGACATCAAGTCAAGAACACATGAAAATTGCGTGGACTCGTCCTGGATCAATCCTGGTGGTGATCTTCACCTTGATTCGAGTGGAGGTTATCTGGGTTCCAACCAGCTGTGCCTTTCGACATATGTTCAAATCGCACTCTTGCCTGTCCGCGCTGTCTTCCATACTGCAGCTGTTCAGCAAGGAAAGAATCAAGTCGCAAGATCTTGGGAAAACGAAGCAGTCTCGAAGAAATCATGGAAAGGACCTGCAAATGCACTTTGGCAGGCTTTGTTGTAATGTTGTTATTGTTGTGGTTGTGATCTTCAAACCGCCCATGCCGGTGCTTGAGCAAATATTGGCTACCAATGACTCTGCCCTGATGCATTTCGGCCGAAAGCAAGCTCTACGCTGGTGAGGAAGTCACTTCCCTTTAAAAGGTCACTCTGGATCTCAACTTGCCATAGTTACTATAGTTTTCGGGGTCCAAACGTGAAGACCCAGGACCATCTGCATAACATCAGTGAAGATGGGAAGGGGGCTCTTGCGGTGCGCCGGCAGCAAGCTGCGTGCCCCAGCAAAAGTTGAGCACGTACCGATCACCATGGCATGATGCCTGCTAGTAGCGTCCTTGCTCCTAGTAGCGGCGATGCCAGGAGCCCCTAATAGCGTCCTTGCTCCTAGTAGCGATGCTGACCCTGATGACCCTCTCCCGAAGCTCCATGGACAAACCATCCCTTTTCCCTCCCATCTCTCCTCGCCCGCCTGCTGTGCTTGTGCCTTACTCCATCCACTCGAGGTCATGACTCAAGAAAAGGCTGTGAGTGGTGTCCCAAGTTAAGTAACCAGGCAAACATCCGCAAACATCGGCAAACATCCCAACAGATCACATCTCTGTACGTCAATCTTTCTCGGCATCCAACGTAGTCCCAGTAATTGGCAGGGTACGCCTCAGCAAAACGACAAGAATCAAGAGCCATGCTGCATCCTTCCGTTTTGATACCATATACAATGACCACCTTCATGTGAGAGAGGAAATGCTGGTCTTCCAAAATCCCTAAGTGTCATGTGTGTTTCAGCAATTTTCAGCATATTAGATGCTTCGATGTACTTTATTAAAGATATATATAATTTACAGAGCTTGTCCTGGTCTCAACACACCACCTCAGTCTACCTACAGAAACTGAACGCTTCGCTGGGATCCATGCATAACCCGCATAAGGGGTCCAAGCTGCAGCAGCAGCTTGGTCTGGCGATGTGCATGAAAGTCGGACTCACCAGTCGCCCGTGCTCGATACAATCCGATCAAGCCGGGTCAGTTCTTGTTGACTTGTGGAACACGAAAGCCTGCAACCCTGTTTCATCCCAAACTGTACAATGAGCTACCACATGTTATTGGCACCATGACTTGGCATTGAGCAACTCTCCTGAAATGGCCTTTGTCTTTGTTCTACTCTCCTCGATTGGGGCTCCCCACTGAAGTCTTCTTTCTCATCTCGGTGACGTCTTCGGCCTGATGTTTTTAATGTGTTGCTGTGCCTAAGCTCTAAGCACATGAATTCCGCAGAAAATGCCCCATGGATAGCATGCTTGTCATGGCCATCTCTTTCTTCTTAAGATGACCATGAATTGTATTTCCAGAAGGTAAAACATGAGGCGTCTCGTTCTGCTGAGTCTGCTGATAGCTTTTGCCCTAGGCGGTGAAACTCAGGCCTGTTTCATCCAACCCGAAATCTCAAACAACCTTGCTAATGCGTAGTTTGCCTGATACTCCGAGTCCCTCCGAGTCCCACCGAGTGCCACACTTCTGCCTTGCAGGACTGGTGAGATGCCAAATAGGAAACTGAGAAACAATCATTTCTGCAAAGCCTTGAGGAATATCGGTGGATCGACAGAGCCTCGTTACATCTCAAAACAGGAACTTGCTTGAAGTCTTATTTTGGACCAGTGAACGGAGACCACACTCATCAACAACTCCTTAAATCCTCTCTGAATCGTGAGCTGGAAGTTCTATCAGTCAGAAGCAGGAAGTGCTAGTGCCTGCCTTCGTTTCGCCGGCTGCGACTTCGGTCGCGTCCTCCATCGCAAGAGAAGTATGTGCGGCGCAGTGTTTGGCATCTCAGCTCTACATACTGATACGTCTGTGCAAGTCTCTTGTCCCCAACGAAACTCAGGAGTCTTCAGCCATAGTAAAGACGTCAGAGATCGTCAAAACAAAGTTCCAGAGCACGCTTTGCAACAATTTTGCAGATATGCTGATATGCTGTTATGCTGACATTGACATGGCGTAATGCTATGTAATGCTTACATGTCATCATGTTGACCTGTTGTCATGCTGTCAGGCTACCATGCTTGTGTGGCGCGCGCTCGTATCGACATTTAACACGGTTTCACTCTGTCATGAAAGCTTGCAAGCAAGCTGTCATGCTGACGAGCGGTCTTTGCTGATATGCGGACTGCTAACCTGTTGTCACGGTTACGTGCTGAGGTGTTGTCACGCCGATATGCTGACACGGTGTCATGTTGGCGTGCGTTGTCACGCTGTCACATATGTGTCATATGACATATGTGAGCACATGTGCTACGCCAACGTATGATGCTCACACGGCACATTCAAAAGGCCCACATGTTTCCAAGCCGCATTGTCTGGCAAAAACACGACACTTGGTGGTGAACTTGCGATGTTGCCATTGCCTCATAGGCTGTTGGGGGTTACCTTGGGCTTGTTCTACTAAAGATTCAGCGCGGCTGCATTTGTACAGCATTCAACTGGTTCCCTCCCTCGCCTCCCGAGTGTGCCCGCCGCCGGGAGCGGCTCCGCACCATCTTCGCCAAATCGTCTTTGCCAAGAAAGGCCCGAGGTGGTCCGAGGTGGTCTTCGTCAACCTTTAAAGGTCTGGTGTCTTCATTGGTGATCACTGTTAGGCTTTGGTAGAAACGGGATCTCCAGTGTGTTGATGTGCGTGACAAAACAATCTTACATCTCATCAATGTCCTGGGAATGGCCTGCACAAGAAAAGTTACATTGGCCTCGCTGTCACAACACGCTCTCATTCTATCCTCATGGGCAGGGCACTGGTGTCGATGGAGCAAAAAATTGTAATTCCCCACTTTTTCGTCTGGGCTTTGAACCATCAAAAACGGAGAGTGCGTGCATGAGACCAAGGCCAGTATCTGTAACATCTGGAAAAAAGAGTGTCTGCAGAGCTTCGCAGCGCTTCGCAGTTACCTGGCCGTTTCCGAAGCACGTAAAGCACATCCTTTTCTCCGGGAGCCATCGGTCAGTGCCGACTAAGAAGGCTGCACCGCTCCGGGTTTCTGGTTCGCACTCAGCGATCGGAACTCGTCCTGAGCCAAGAGAGCTCCACGCATCTCACGGTGTAGCGGTTTGACATGTTGGATGAGTTGCGTCATGCAAAGGCCACTATAGCAGCCACTGCTGATCGCTCATCCCGTCACCAAGGTCAAAAGAAACGGAAAGATCAATCCTGGAATCTGGAAGAGTGAGTCCGACATTCCGACATTCGATCGCTTCCGGCAACTGGTGACTCCCGATGCCTTCTGACCCCCAGACACATCAGCTCCTCCGTCATCAATGGCACACTTTCATCCACCAAATCTCCCAATGGTGGTGGAGGCTCAGTGTCGCCCTGGCACAAAAATGGTTGGTCGCTCCTATCGACCTGTCCCACAGAAAGAGACATGGGCAGGCATCTCAAAACGAGCTAAAGAACATTCTTCGTCTTTCTTCGGATCCCTCACTCTTCGTCTTTTTTTCTGGATTCCTGTGAAACCTTCTTCGTGAACCGGGAAAAGAGGCTCAGAACCCTTGCGATACAATAACAAGAGCCAAGGTCTCAAATGTTGTTTGGCACTCGGCAGGAATGTTCTCTCAATGAACTTTCATCCACTGGTCTTTCTTACTTCTCTTTCTTACCTCAGGGGTCTTCCCAAACCAAGGAGGTTTTTGCCCATCTGAGACACTCATCTGCTCCGAGGCACGTCCAAGACGCCACACTGAACGATGCGGATAGGCACCGCAGGCCTTCCAACCTGGAGCCGCAACGAGCCGCGACGATCCTGCCGGTGACCGTGAGGCTGGGGGTAGGTCGGCCAACAGGAAGCCAACTGAGGAAGCTAAGAAGTAAGGTGTAAGGACCTTACACCTTACCTCTTAGCTTCCTCAGTTGGCTTCCTCATGGCCGACAGTATAAGGACTCAGCTACTAGGCTAGGCGGCTAGGCGCTAAAGGCTACGGAGATTCAGGAGAGCTCAAGCTTCTTCAAGGAAGCTTCCAGCACCTGAAGCCAGGGCGAGCTTCCATGATTAATTTCCTAGTTGTGGGGGGAAGTGTTGGAAAGTCTGAGACCAACAGCTTCCAGCTTCCTTCCTGTTTTGAGACCGTGGTATCCTCACGGACCTGAAAACCTAAACTTAGAACTACACGCCTTTCCCAAAACACCGAGAGACAGCACGACCACGAAGCATACGAAGCACGACCACCTCTTGCCTTGGTACCAAGCTCACCGATCTCCCGCACCACCTTCATGCCTCAAATGAGTTGAACATCCCATGCCAAGGGCCGGGGGCCGAGGCTGGCAGCTGGCATCTCATGCGAAGAAAAGAAACAACAAAGGCGACCACCAAATCTGGAGACATTCCCTGGTTCCCATTTTGGTGTTCAGCATTGTAGTGTATCAACAAAAGACTACCGGCTGACACTACTGCTTCTACCTGAAGGAAGTGCCTGGTGTTGAGGAGAAGTTCAAAACGATGCGTGGCATGCCAAGTCAGCTCTGCTCACCTTTCAAGACAGTCCCGAAGACCACATGGTGGTTGGTGAAGGCCCGCTGTTGCCTTAGCCAAAACGCATCCGAACATACCATGTTTTGGACAAAGCTCTTCATGGGCCAAGAAAACACCAAAGGCTCCACCTCTTTGGCCGGAATGGCCTCTTTCAGGCTTGCTTTTCGGAGGGAAAATCCACCGAACCTGAGAGCGTGGCGACAGGGTGATCATGAAGACCGAGGAGTTGGTGTTTTTGCCCCAATTGCACATGGCCTCAGCAGCTCGATGCACTCTGCGAGAGAGTTCCAGCGAGTGAGTCGCTGCACTCACTACTGTGCCTGCCCATAGAAGGAAGCCGACCCAAAATCCATGTTCAAGTGACATCCCCTGCAAGATTTTGGATGAATCGAGTAAAAAGGAGTCAGGTTTGTCGGCGTTGATATTCCTAGCTGGGATGTGCTGCGGACAGTCAACCTCTATATCCCTTCATTAAGTGGGTATCAGGCCTTCCAAGGGCTATGAGTTGCCAACTGTCCATGTAGGGGGATCGCCAGTCCAAGAATTTCAATGAAGCGATTTCAGACTCCTGTTCTAAGCAATGTATGAATTATCTTCAACCTAAAGACTGAAGTCACTTGGGGCCGAAGCCAGATCGCCATCCCGAACGAACTCAAACTCAAAGTTCTCGTCGGGGAATTGCTGGCGATGAAAGAGCTCACCGGCAAACGACTGTGAGCGAAGCGAAGTTCAATGCAGGCACCAAAATGGGAACCCCAGAAAGTGTAGGCTAGCTAAGTTCTGGGTACAGGATTTAAGTTCAGACTGTGCTGCTTGTCATTCATCGACATTCACTATCCAATCTCGGTACACGGGATCATGGTGTTGCAACCCCTCATTTAAAGCGTACAAAAGCCAAGTGAATTAACCCAGCTGATAACTCCAATACCAAAGCATCCACCAAGATCCGGCACTTTTTTCTGCGCGCGTTGGTGCGTTGTTCTTTCACATATTGAATATTGAATACCATGTTCCACCAAAACCAAGATATGTTTAGATTCAACCGTATAGTTTCTACACCAAGTAGCCAAATCAAATTCATTACTGTATCCAAGCAAAATGTGCATGTTCCATAGACCGGAAAGCGCTTACAGTGGCTTACAGTACTTCGATGGCCGAATTGTATGTTCAAGTGCCCGCGCATAGCTTATGCCTGAAGAACCAAGTCAATACAGCACACCAAGAGATTCGCACCAAGGAAGATAGGTCTGACTATGCACACAATTTCTTTTCGGCCAAAGAATGAAAAGCATATATATAAATATATACAGATGACAACTCAATATTGTCACCAAAAAAATGTATAAACTGTATTTATGGGCAAACACAGGATTAAAGCACGAAAGGTACAATGAACGCAGGTGTCAAAGAGAACGTACTTTAAGTATTGGCACGAGGGAAAATACAGCTTTGGACGCGCAAGCGCATAATTCAAACAAATACATGCAAGTTGAACAAACATTCGCTAGCAAAGAGGATGGTTTTCAAAAGTACACAGAACATATATGTACTACGGCTAAGCAGTGAATGTGTGTGTACATGTCCCAATGCATGATTTCCCGCGAACGATGCAAGATACGCAGTGTCAAGCAAACAGTGTTTTTGCATGTCGAAAACAGTTGTCCACCAAGCCCGAAAAATATGGAAATGCAATCGCGTTGTTTATACAAAAATATACAAAACAAAACTCAGTATCCAAACAAAAGCTAGTATTGTTGTCAGTGACCACGAAGCACTTAAGGAATGTTCGCCGATGGCGGAAATGTATGTTCAAATGCCCGCCGCACGCACAATTTGTTCATCCAAACAACATAATCAGCTCAAAAAAAAAATACGCACCGAAAGAATTCCAGTGCCCGCGTAAAGCATCAACCAGCACACCACCAAAGAATGACCAAAGCATTGCCAAAAGAAGCAGCACGTCGCCGAAAGACCGAGACACCGGACACCACCCGCCCAGGCGAGGTGGGACGGCGCCCGGCCGCTTAAAGAGTGTACGACCCCAAGCTATTGCTGTTGGGGAAATATAAGCAGCTGAGTTAATCAGACAAATCTACATCGGTCTTGGAGAGGGTTCTCTCTTTTCATCCATCATAGGCAGTGTATCCATCACAGTGCTTACGTGACTCCAGTGACTCTGTGCCAGAGAATATAGTTTGCCAATCCATCCACTCTGGCAGATCACCCTGTGGTGACCACCAAAAGTGATATATCCTGCACCCGCTGGAGAGTTCCACAGTCTGATCTGCCTCTGTGGATGTCCCTGTTCGTTAGAGGGTCCCCAAGACAAGGCGTAGCTGTCACCTGTTCCCCCGAGACCTAAAACTACAGAAGAATCAAACCGCTACAGTAGGCGCAAAGGGCCAATGCCGAATCCAGCCACCGCATCATGCGAAAAGAAGAAGGTGTTTCATTGGTCCCCTCGGAAGGGTCCAAAAAACGATGAGTCACTACGTAACCCATTTCAACACATGATGATGCTGTCTTCTCGAGCGGCCCGGACAATGCTCGGACGTTTTAGTCGGTCGCGGTCCAAGACCTACGGGACCTCGGTTTTCATCACCGGCGCCTCGCCATAGATGCTGAGGCCCCTTGTCTTACCAGCTCCGTCGAGGACATCTCCTCCTGGCATGTCGGGAAAGAAACATTCCAAGAAGGTAAAACACGGCTGGACGTGGCTGATGGAGCCCTGTAAGGTGGTGAGATCAGTTCATGAAATCCGCGGAAGTCATAGAAACGTGGTCTCTTCACCCATCCTTCTAGAGGTTGAAATGCACTTGGCCTTGACGAAAGGTTGGAATCTACATCTGAATACCAAGAATTCAGGACAGGACAGTCTCGTGGCAGCAAACCACTTCGTGAAAATTGGCTTGGCAAGTCTTCAAAAAGCCAAAAGGCCGCACCTGCTATGGCAGAGCCGGGCTTGATGAGGTGAAAGATGGTGTTTTGATAACCTGCACAAGCACCGATGCACCGATTAGATGCATCAAGACGTTGAGGAACAAGAAAAATCAGACCCATGATTGTTGGATGTTGAGGCATTGGCCGATTCCTCAATTCTTCTCAGGTTTCGAGCTTGCTCATTGAAAGCGAAGTTGCCTGAAAGAGCTTCCTAGATTGACTCTAGACCCCCTCGCCCCGATTCATTGCCCCGATTCCCCAACTGTGGAACTGCTTTGGTTTGCTTGATTTGGGTATCTTTCTTCACTTCGGGGTCTTGAGCGAAAGCTTTCACTTTGGGCTACTTGCAGTTGCTGAGGCCAAGTCTGTAACTGGGGTTGGAATTCATTGCCTTAGACTACACATTCCAGATGTCATGGCGATGCACAAAGAGGCCCGCTATAATCTTTCTGTTTGCAAGATCAATGGCTCTGACGCAAGGAACATGATATCAGTGTATCCTTCTGAAAGTCAAGGCTGTGTTCCCCTTCGAAGACTATTTTGCATCCACCGGGCCTATAACTCGATCCTTGATGCGGTATCCTTTGCCTTGTGGCAGCAGCTTTGATCAAAGTCCTCCTACTTCGATGAAACCGCACAGCCCCTTCAATGACTAAAGTTCAAAGGTTTTGGGATGGAGCTGCAAACCACACTGGGCTGCAAACCACACTGGGCTGCAACTTACTCTCATTACAATGACGCTAAATGCTGTTTCCTCACACATGTTGTGGGACGTTGCTGGCAGTATGTTCCAAGTGACAAAGCTGCAAGAAGTTCTCGCAAGTCAATGGCACCTCAATGCGACTGTTCTACAGAAAGACCAGCATTGGAATTGTCGGCACAAGAGAGCGCTTGCTTTGAGGCTGTGAAGGCATTTGAGTGCAGGATAGCAGGCTGTGGCTGTGTACAGCAAAAAGGTTCATTCGAAACTTCAACATACAATGCACAGAACGCTTTTGTTTCAATGGACTTCCATATGGACAAGTTCTACTGCTCTGGCAGGTCAACCATGGTCCCGCATTTATGCAAGCCAAAGTCTGTGTGTTGATCTAGGCTCAAGACCACATCAGAGTAAAGTCCAAAAACGATTCGGCCAGCGTATCGGTTTCCGATGCTGATGTCGAAGTAGCACCTCCACATGGAAAGTGCCGGTACCATCCATCTGGTTTCCTGCTTTGTAACGGGAAACAAAGCTTCTTTTCTAAACCTTCTTCTGGATAGCTGGGGACTCCAGATGGAAACCATTAACATTTAATCTTGGAGAATGCCACTCGAATGAATCCGTTTTAAGAAGATTGAAATCCTCACCATGGGGCTACCCAAGGCGACTTTACCTTCCCACCATCTCCAGAGAAGACTTTCTCGCACTCTCATGTCACTCTGCATGAAAAAGGCACCAGTTGCATGTTGGTACTGAGCTTGTCTGAGCTCTCTGAGCTTCTGGCTTATCTTTGACACTCGCCTCATACTCCCTCAGCATCGGGCACATCAGCTTGTCTTGACGTCTGAGTGGTCCACATTACTTGATTGGGATTTGTTCTGTTAGCATCTGTTTCATGGCATGCACCATCCTCCGATATCGGAAGTACATGGGTGTTGGCACTGCAAACATGTACCTCAAAAGTTGAGAAGTCCTGCCGCTCAGAGGTGACGTGCATCGCCTTTTTCACTCAATTGAAATTTGCTGCGGACAGGAGTCTAATCACCCATCAGGGCGACAAATCTTTTGGAGACAATACCGGCGAGATAAGAGAATCGCCCATCCTAGCAGACCGGGAAAACAATCGATCCAGAACCGACCAACAAAGAAGAATGTAGATCGGCTTTGACCGGTCAAGAGAGACGATGAAGAGAGACGATGGCTCTCGGATGGACTCAGAACAAGTCGTCATCCTTCTTGTACCGCCCAGCCACCTGCATCCGGTCCAAGCTTTGGAGGAGAAAATGCCATGAGAATTCTAGAAACTACCGGCCGTAAAGTCGATGATGTTGTATCTTTTATACACTGTTGCAAATCCGATCACAACTCTTGCTCTCTTGAGACATCTCCCCAACCAGAAGTGAAACTCACACCGGACCTCAACAGTCACTCAACCCTTCGGTGCCTGCGACGCAAAGAGGCCAAAAAAAGCGCTGCCCAAGAAAAAGTTCAGCAAGGCTTCGTTATCCTTGGCGGCCTCCTGCACAAGACATATGCTTTTCAACATAGCCAACCGCAGGGGATAAAGCATCTGATGTATGACGTGATGAGAAAATGGTTTCTCTATTTCCTTGTGATCTCAGTGTTCTTTCAATGGTTGATATCACAATTCCTTTCACGTACTGCAAGCAAAATCGAGTTTAAGACTCATTGGGTTGCAGGCGGCGCTCCGGACCAAACGCGGAGTATTGGCTTGGCATGCTCGCAGGATCCTCGTGAGCCGTCGAAAAACAAGAGCACTTCTGCATTTCTGCTGTGCTTCGACGGAACTTGTGGCCATTCTTAGCATAAGTGTGAAAAACCAGGCACTAAGCCTCACTGAGCAACCAGTAACTGGTAACTAGAAGGCACGGCGTCGGCTGCGGGTTTTCAAAGCCCCACGGACAAATGCACTTTGGAAGCTGAGAGAGTCAACAAAACATGCCAACTGCTCCAGAACTTTGTCATCTTCGTCCAGCCAAACAAGAGTTCAAGAGTTCCTTGAAAAGTAGCTAGGGGTCCAGTCACTTCATCCACGTCCTCCAGTCATTTCGCCTTTGCGGCTTTCCAAGGTGCGAAATTGTCACCAGTGACCGCGTTGGCTATCTGAGTCGACATGAACCAAATCGAGGCCGTGCTAGAGGCCGTGCTCAAGCCGCTGTTCGCACTCTGCATCCTGAAGAAACAACGGCAAACCCAGAGGATTTGGACAAGCAAATGAAGAAAGTGTTTTGTAGCCACGGTCAAACCATATGGCACATGATATGAAAGGAGCCATTTTTGGGCAGCTACTTGGCATGATGCAAGAGTTGAGCAGTGAAAGGTTTCATAGTCGTACTAGACTCACTAGACTACCATGTCATGAGACTAAAGGCAGGAGACTGCTGCAGAAATCATATCAACTGTTTTACACGCGAACGTGGCAGGTCTATTTCGATCCCCTTGTTGACCTCATGGTGCCGATCCCAACCTCGCTGGCTTGGGGCTCAAGAAAGTCATTGGCGCCACGGCTAGGACGCATAGCGCCACCTGGAAAGTCAGCCAGCTCAAGACCCAGACGAAACGTTGGTGTGCTGAGCATATGCTGCAATTCTCCTCTTCAGTCTCCGCTACAAAGAGACCATCACTGTTTGGACTTTGTTTTGAAGCAGGGTCTTGGAACATTTCACCTTGGAACCCTTAGATGAAACAAAAGCCACATTGAACAACAAGAAAGGACTCTAGCTGCCAAGATGCCAGCAGTAATCCCCCCAGTCGCGCCATGAGGTTCTGCTCTGGAGCCGCTGATCAAGCAAGGACCGTCCACTTTCACAAGAAGAAGCAACCCATAGGGCTTGGACTGCTTGGTTCATATACGCAAGTATTTCAACAGTAGTGGGCTTCTGATCCCCCACAGATTCCCCACACTAAGCTTGAAAAGGACAATGCCTTGGCGTCACCAGCGCCCTCCTCGGACCCATGATGCATTTGGACTGCGACCGACCATTCAAGAACTGGGCCACCAAGCTTCGCCAAACGCTGCAAGTGGAAGTGGTCCTGCATCCAGCACGGATCCAAGTTTTGCAAAGTAGTGGATCTATCACCACACGTGTGACATTACTTACATTTCCGTCCAGAGGTCACCTCTTTTTTTTTTTCTCGGCTCTTTTGCGTCTGCTCTAGCGACGCCACAGCCCGTAGGCCAAAAGTGGCACCAGGCAAGGCTCTCTTCGCCTTGTACCTGGGATCTGCAACCACCTCCAAGCATCTAGCTCTCCGAACTTCTGGGCCCAAAGTGAAGTTTTTGCTGGCCCTTTGCTTTGACGCAGTGTTGATGGACCCACTGCTGCAGCCTGCCATCAACCACCCGGCTGCTTCTGAGGCATTGCTGGCACTCAACCCATCTGCCTCTTCTCACAAGACAATGACTGGTGTGGATGCGAAGTCTCAAGTTGAGGCCAGCTTCATCAACAGGGCCTGTGGCACAGTCCTTTGCAAGCAACTGTTGAAGGTGATGCTTGCTGCTACGCCGTGGGATGCTCTCCCAACACTGCTTGCACCCAAATTTGCTGCCTTGCAGAACCCATCTATGTCCAGGGTGGCCTTCTGCTAGAAGGTCCGAGCTGTCCACCAACTCCCGCATCTGTTGCTCCATGGTTCGTGCTGCAAACCCGCTGCAAACTGTGTCCTGTTGATGGGCAATCTCTGCATGCGTCGCACAGCCTTTTATCTTGCGGTTGCAGTGCTTGCACTGGATTCCAGCCTTGTAAATCTCCCACTCATGGGTGCCTGGTTGTCTCTCCCTTAACGTCAGCTGGCGAAGAAGGGCCAATCGACCTTGTGGTGGCTTCTTTTTGGTCTCCTTAGGACCGCTGTCAGGCACAGGCTCCAACTTGCCATTCATATAGTGTTCTTTGTCTTGCAGCATTTTGCTGATCCTCTTGGCTGCAGTCATGTAGACTTCCAAGTGCAGCTGGTCCTCAATCACCAACTCCTGTTCCAGGGACTTCGGCTGTTCTCGATGAGCCCTCTGCACTGCCAGTTGCTTTGCCAGGAGGTACTGCTGCCTGCCCCGGTCATGGGTGGCCTGACTCTTCATCAGCTTCCACGGCACTTGAAGCAGCTGCAGCCTCTTCCACTCATCCTCTGGCAAATTATGCCACAGATCAGGGGCCACTCTGCCTGCCGCACCTTTTTGGATGGCCGTCCAACCTGCTGGGTGAGGTATGTTTAGCTGATGCCTGCCCAAAACCATTTGTAGGACCAGCCAACAGCCAAAGAACCATGCCCTTGCTTCAGTGCTGTGCCCTGGGGCGATGGCAGTGCATTGCCCAATGACTTGCCATGCATCAACCTGCCACTGCATTGCCACCACCGCTACAGCATATCTCCTCACCCTCGGGTCTTTGCTGGTTTGCTGCAGACCAATGGCTAACCGCTGATGGGGGCCAATCCTCACAGGCCATCCATGACTGAAGATGCCATCAACTTCACAGGAATCAGCACCCTCACATGGATCAAAGGCCGGCTGATCAATGAGCCCCCTGGCCCATAGCATAGTATTCTCATTGGCTGCAATCATCTGCTTCCACTCCTGCGGCAACTCATCCTTGTGATAGTTGCACTGCCAGACCAGGTGTTTCATGCTCACCGGAACCTGGCACATAGGACACATCATCCTCTCACCACCATAGTGTGCCCTCAATGAGCCCTGCGTCCATGCATTGATTGCCACTTTCTGACTGGGTGAAGCTTGCTTCATTGCCTTCCGATATATGCTCCAGTCAGGCCTTCTCATCAGGGGAAAGGCATGCTCCAACTCTTGGATCCTGCGTGCCCTTTGATTTGCAAGTTCTTGCTGCAGCTGTCTTTGAAGATAGGGCCAAGGGAACTCTATATTGAGTTGGGCTGTTGGCAGCAAGCCAGTTTGAGCACGCACCCAATCATTGAGACAACTGGCATCCCAACCCATGTCCATCATATAGACCTGAAGTGCTGCCATTGGTCCAGTGACCACCATCCAAGGATAAGCCGCTGCTTTCAATCTTCTCCAGCTAATTCTCCAGGCAGTGTGGAGTTCAGCAAGTTGCTCCGGGGGCCATTTGAGGACAAGCAAGTGCATGGCCTTGAGTTGTCTCTCAACCACCGTGGCAAGTGGATCTTGCAGCTTCTCATTCTGGTCGTACACAACATCAACACTGCCTCCTTTCTGGAGGCCTCCATGTCTTGCCAGCTGTGTTCGAAGCGTTTGCAGGCGCTGTGGTGCAATGCCCTGAGCTTCCAAACCATAGCATGCCGCAGAGTGTACAGAGGTCTTCCAAACTCTAATCCGGATGGGTCTGGCCTTGATCTTCAAATGGGACAGCTTGGCATTTCGCCTTCCTGCCTTGAGAAGCCGCTTTTGCTGTGTTCCAATCCTCCTCCGTCGACCTCCACTGGAGTCCAAGCCTAAATCTTTCAGGAGTTCGTGAACTGTGGGTTGGTCTTCTCTCCTCAGCAGGGTGATCTCCTTCTTGCAATCATTCGATGAGGCGAGGTACCCAGTCTTGGCCAGGGACATTGTCAGCCCAGCATCCGTGAGCCTCTGTTGCAAGACCTCAAATCCATGGAGGGCCTCCTGACAAACTCCTCTCAAACTATCCCCAACGAAGTCAATGGAGATGTCGTCCACCCACACATCTATGGTGGCTTTGTGGAACTGCTCCTTGAAAGGGCCTAACACTGGCGCCAGGATCAACTTGGCTACTAACGGTGCTGCAGGGCATCCGGCCAGGATTCCTTTTGAGCAGATCACAGGTTTGGAGGTGACCTGTTCGGCCTGGAGCAGCCGTGGCCCGGTATACACTTCGTATACCATGTTCATCACTGCAGGCGGGAAATCCAAAGGCTCCCATGCTTCCAACAGTTGCTCAAGCACAACACTGTCATAGAAACACTGCAGGTCCACCAGAAGCGAGACCACATGCTTTCCAGTGGCACGGCCTACCTCACATTTCAGCAGCCTCATGAGGGCAACTTGTAGGACATGTGTGCCAGGCACACTTCGCTCCCAACTGAGCTTCTGGCCAATGCTGGTCTGCCATGGTCGCAGTTTGTCCCATCTCAATCGACACCACGTCCTGTACAGCACACTCGTCAATGAGATGGGCCTCTCAATGTCTTCTTTTTTGGGGAGCAGCAGGACCAATGTTGTGCGCACTTGATCAGGCAGCCGGCCTTCCAATTCCCACTTCCTGTACATGTTGCACAGAGCAGTGACCCCTTCAATGGGCAGGGCTTTCAACAAGGCATAGCTGACTCCATCTGGTCCTGAAGCTTTTTGAGGGAGTTTGCTGAGTTGTTTCATCACCTTGTGGGGATCAAGATCTTCCCATTGCCGGGCTTGCACAATGCCTTCATATCTCAGCCTCTCTCTCTCCCCATTTGGTTTGGGCTTGTCAACAACCTGCCACATTCCAAACCATTGTGTTTCCCTCATCTGCTGTTTCTGCTGCACAGGCACTTTGCGAAAAGGTCTGACGTGAACCGCATCTGGGGCCTTCAAACACTTGTAGATGCCACTGTGCCCCTGAGGGTTGCTTGAGACAGCCAGTTCTGGTATTCATCAGCTTGCCGGTTGAATGCCAGTTTTTGAGCTTGCTCTTTGTTGCAATCCGCACCTTGTATCAACAGGGTTATTGGGGCATCTCCCCCATTGATGAGCTCTTGCAGGCCTGCTTGGAAATCTTCAAACCCATGGATGTCCTGCCATCTGCTGGTGAGGTCAGCTGCTTTGGCTCTCAGATGAGCCATGGCTCCCACACCGATGCTTCCTCTCTGGGCCACATGTTGCAGCAGGGAGCTCATCTGCCCCCAGTAGGCTAAGTCACCCCTTCTCCACGGTGTCAGCGGCTTTGTCTTGGCAAGCGGCTTGATTTCCAAGGCCAGATACCATCCCCTGCCATACTTTGGCTGATGCAATTGTTGTAAAGCAAACTGTTCAGCCTGGTGGCAAAACTCTGCACATTGGATCTCTTTGGGACCCACTGGCCTACCCAGCCAGAAAGGCTTTGGGGCCGGCTCGAAGTGATCCCAAGGCTTTTCAGCCTCTTCCATTCTGGGCACCGGGGAAAACTGTGTCAATTGTTGCAAGGCCAGTCTAGGTGCTTCTTGCGCCACATGTACCATCAATCCAGCATATGGTTTCCATGGTACATCCCAGTTGACTTTGAGGTCCAGATACGGTGCAATGGCCCTACTTGCAACAATGTAATCAATTTCAGCTCCATTGATCATGGTCGGTTGGCCACTGCTCACCACTTCCGCTTTCAGGACATTCAACAAGTTGTGTCCATCCCACTGTGCAGGCGGGACTTGAAAGTCCCCAATCAGGAGCCATGGTATAGCAAGCTCCTGAACCAAGGCTGCCACCTGTCCCAGCACTCTTGCATTGGCCACCGAATTCAGGTCCTCCCCACACTTGAGGTACACTGAAATGACACATAGTTCCCAGTTCTGCCGTTGGACCACATTGGCCAAATATCCATTTCCTTCATGGTCATAGTGGCGCAGCTTGTAGGCCGTCTGCCCTTCCCTGCAGCAAAAGGCTTGTCCACCACTTGTGCCTCCTCTGCCCGTCTCATATGCAGTCAGGAAGGTGGGCATCCATCTAGACCTACACAGGTCACTCATGGCAGCCTCCAGCTTAGGGCCTGCTATGTGTGTCTCCACCAGCAGCGCAATCTGCAGGTCTTGCTGGATGAGCCATTGGAAGACCTCTTTGTTCCATTGAGTGATGTTGCTAAAGAACAATTGCACCTCATCTTGCAGGATCTTCGGTCTCTTCAGCGGTGGTTGTATAGTACCAATGGGATTGGGCCAGAAATCCGAGGGTTCAGCTTTTGAGGCCCACACCATCACTGTGCCTTCTTGGATAATGCTCGGAATTTCTTTCACCGCTCTTGGACACTCACCATCATCTGCGATCCAAACCGCTTGCCCTTCCACCAACATGGTGATGTAGTGACCACTGATGAGCTCCATTCCTTGATGTGCAATGACACCTCTCAACACAAAATTTGCAGGAGCTGCGTGGCCAGTCGACGTCATCTGCGGGCACTGAAACATTGGCGGTGTGATCAACTTGTGATTGTGCTTGGTCCAAACCCTATCAATCACTGAATACCGCCCAATGTGAAACACAACATGCTGTACTTCTTGCCCCAGGCATTGTCCACTCGCTTCATTGGCCCACATCGACAGCAGGGTCGACAGTTGCACATCCTCCCCTAAGTCAGGAGGCATTCTAACAAAGATGGGTATGGTGTCAAACTCATGATTTCTGCCACCAAAATTTGACACCCAATTTCCTTGTAGGCCCGTCTGCTGCCAGAGCTCCCACATCAGGACCAGAAACTCCGAGGCATCATGTTGCTGTTGCGGCCTTTCCAACCTTGCTATGATAGGTTGCATCTCTGAGGCCCAAAAGATATCATCAATCTCGTCCTGCTGCAGAAGCTGCATACACAGCTTCGTGGACTGTCCCCAAAACTCTTCTGGATTCTTGCGATGTGCACCCATCCAGCACCACATCCTCATCACCGAGTTTGCATAGCAGCGATTGCCTTTATTGTGGATGCACAGTGTGAGATTTGCCGCCAGCAGCTCAATCGCCGGCGGGATCTTGGGGTCCGCCTCCACTGGCCTGCATAACATCAAGTTACTCTGCAGCGCCATCCTCATGCGGAGCACATGTTTCAAGGCCTCCAAGCCCCACACCCTGGTCTCCACTTGCCCAAATTCAATGTCGTCTGCACACTGTATGGGCAAGGCCTGAATTGCTTCCATTGCTCTCTCCTGTAGGACAACTAGCCTGTCCTTCAAATGTCCTGGTGTAGTTCTCTCCGCATACTGATCTTCATCCTCAAGGATCTCATCTTCTCCACTGACTTTTGCTCGTTTGCCCCCACCAAGGAGAGAGCATTGGTACCCATTGCCTGTGGGTCCCGAAAAGGGCCTGGTTTGGGACCCACAGAGTGGGCTGCTGGAACAGCCCACTGGATACCCAATTTGTTCATTTGGCAGGTGAAGGATTGGGGCTTCCAGGGTCCTGTCAAAAGCAGGTCCAGGCGAGCCTGGCCGCTCTGAGATAGAAGAGCACAGTGCCCCTTCTGCCCCTTCCCCCGCCTCTTTGCCCTCTCTTGATTCACCTCTCATGTTTGGGGCATCCTCAAGAGAGTGCTTGCCATTGGTGCAGGCTTTCATGCCACGGCTATCCCTCAACATCTTCGAATTGAAGGCTCCGTTCACGTCTGCCTGCTGATCACTTTGTTGCATCAAGACCACCATCTCTGTTTGGCCTTGATCCAACCTTCCACTTTGAGCACTGGTGAGGCAGGTCCCGTCTGAAGCAGTCTCTACAAGCTGCTCTGACATAGAAGAACACGGTGCCTGCTCACTAGTGCCCTCATCCTCAGTGTGTTCTGAGGATCCACTTTGCTTCCATGGCTTGCCATCAGCGCCCATGTTTCCCCACCGAGCGCGACAAGCTAGCTCAAAAACTTGTGAATTCAGCCTGTCAACCCCTAATTGTACGTCATGGCTGCCAGCCCCTTGCGGATTGAAAGGGATATCAAACTGCTCTTCCAAACCCACATACGGCTGCCAACCTTGAACACAGGCATCATCCAAGCAGGATTGTCCACATCTCCAATTGACATGCTCATGTCGTTCATCTCCCCATGAAGCTTGCATGTCATCCCAAGCATGCCACACTTGCAAACACTCCCATTGGTTTGGCTCGTCAACCCCTATCGCAGCCTGAGCATGTAGCAATGACCCCAGCTCAACTTGCTGCGTGACTTCAGACCTTTTCATCGCCTCCTCAACAGTCTGCTCACATCCCTGCTCAGGGTTACCCTAAGGACGGGATCTCAGATTTCTTGCGGCGCTTTAGCTTGTTCTCAGCCAGGTGCCGCTCCAAATCTGACTTTTGGGTGTCTGTGTACAAAATGCCAACTTGTGCCAAAGCTTTGAGCACGTGATCATTCATGTCACCATCAACTTCACCCGTCTCATTGGTGGTGTCTTCGACATTCTCTTCTTTCAGGATCTTGGCATAGGCCTCAGATTGTGCAGTCAACTGTTGCTGCTCTTTGTCAATCAGTTCCTGCACCAGCTTCAGTTCGTCAAGCAGGATCTTGTACTGGTCTTTGGCCGTGTCCACCTTCTTCTGGAGGCCAGCCTTTTTGTTTGATAGCTGCCTGAGCTCCCCAACTGTGGCCTTGAGCTTTGTGGTCACATCTTTGGGCTCTTGCTTGGCTGGTGCAACCAAGTTCTCAACTGCTTCTCGGACTTCTTTGGGCAGGGCCTCCAAGTGGGCTTGCAAGATCACCTCCAATGGCTGCAGTTCTGGCTCCGGCGTGTAGTCGATGCCAACCGATTGCAGAGCCTTCTTCACATCATCATTCAAGGTGGTCCAGCTTTTCTTCAACAGGTCATCCACGGGGTTCTTGGCAACCTTTTTGTCTCGAGCTCCCAGTCCTGGCGGCCTGTCAACCAGCACCATTTTGTCTCTTTTGGTGCGTGCCTGTCGGCGGGGGTTGTTCCTCCAAGGCATACTCCACGTGGTCTGCGGCCAGGGTGTATGGCATTTGTCACATTGCCACCTGGAGTCCGAAACACGGTCAGTCCAGATCCAGGAAGCTTCACAGCCACCACACACCATGTAGGATCGCTTGCCCTTGCGTCTTGCCCACTGCCAACCATCCCAGCCATGCTTCTCCATGATGTTGATCAGGTGGTAGGGCTGTCTCGTATCACGGGCAAAGGCACTGGCACCAGCCTAATTGGACAGGACAAAGACCTCGTCAGTGTCGTTGCTCCAGTGCCCTCCGTGACCTCAAGGTAGGACGCACCAGCTTGAGCCTCCTGAACCTTGAGCCGATATCTTGAGCCAGAGGTCACCTCTCTCCCTCTCTCTCTCTCTCTCTGTCTGTCTGTCTCGCTTTGTGTGAGCCCAAGTGAAGTTGAAACCCAACAAACCGAAAGAAGCTCATCGGTCATTGGGACTGTCTGATGTGAACCGGAAATGTCCGACTGAGTCCCGCTCGAAAAACTCATTGCCAAGTTGCATAGACAAAGTAAGTCGGGATGCAGGCAAGGATCCCCAACGCCGCCTGCCAGCTGCATGGAACATGAACCAGAGCCGGTCTCCATCACATCTCCAAAAAACTCTGGGCACCCCCACCACACCGGCACCTTGGAACTGGGCGGTTGTCTGCCTAGAGAGCAGCAATGTGGCTGATAGAGAAACAAAGGAGGTAAATTCCAACCTACTAGCGATGGCATCCAACCTACTAGCGATGGCCTCCAGCCAAATAGAAAGACAAAGGAGTCCGATTGCAAGTGGTCAGTCAGCCCACCGAGCATCGTGCCCAAGTCTTCGCGTAACGTGACTGAACATGTCGCTGGAGCAAATGCTCAAGTCAGAACAAAACTGCAAGAATAAACTAGGAGTGATGAATGCAAATAGATCTGTCAGAGCGAATTCCCTGTGCTTGCGCATATCTTGTCTCTCCAGATAAAAACATGATGAAACATGCAATCATCAACTCGATTCACGATTCTCTTATATAGATCTCCACCCTCAGAGCTCAGTAGGGCCACCGCAACCAAACATCTTGTTCGGCTGATGCATATCATGATCTTTAAAAGCTTCAGAGCCAACAGCCACACCGCCCATGTGGTCAAGGTCATAGTCTCAACAGCTTTAGAGTAAAGGAGCAAAAGCAAGAATTTGATACCAGAACCTTTCACTTTATACCAGAACCTTTCACTTTACATGCGAGGGTTGTTTTGATTCACGAAAAGCAGGACGTTAGTGTGAAGCCAAACCAACGGAAATGCTGAGAAAGAACACTGCAATCTGTGGCTCGTGGGCCTCTCTTTTGTGGCCAATGTCGCCTGTTGGCCAGCAACCACTCACTGAACCTGCGATTGAAGTTGCTCGTCAAGGAGCTTCGCCAACTTGCCCATCTTGCCCT